AAAAGCATTGCATGAACTTTTGACACCGCTATGTGGGAGAAGTTGTAATGTAATTCATTATATCTCTTATTGAGTTGAACCTCAGTGTTGAAGCCTTGTGATCGTGTCAGCTTGGCTTTTGTGGGGATGCAGATTTTATTCATGATACCTTACATCTTTCCGCCTATTGTATGATCTCTCTGCATTCCCTGCAGTGTATTTTAGCAATGCACCTTTATTATCTGTGTGTGTGCATGTGCATGTGCGTGTGTGTGTGTGTGTGTGTGTGCATGACACAGTGCACGTGTGGAGGTTGTAGGACAGCCTCCGGTGTCTGTTCTCACTTTCCACCTTGCTTGAGGCAGGGTCTCTCTTTCGATGTTCACTGCCGCTTATGCCAGAGGTGTGGCCTGAGAGCATCCCTGGCTCCTCCTGCCTCTGTCTTCCATCTTCCTGGAGATGCACTAGGATTGCAGGTGGATGCTACTGTCCCAGTTCTCATGTGGGTAATGGGGATCTGAATTTGGGCCTCGCGCTTTCTTGGGAAGTGATTTATCCGCTGGGTCAGCCCCCAGTTTTGCCCTTGCTTTTGAAAGTGTTTCTGTGTCCTGCTCTCGTATTCTGTTTACAGCTCATTCACCAGATGTAGGTGGCTTGAAGGTGGGGGTGGAGGCAGATGCTCCTCCGGGTTTCCTTGGTGGTAGATGTAGAGGAGAGGGGCTAGCTAATGCGGAGAAGAGGTTGCGCGCTAGGAGCTCTCATCAGCTTGTCTCTGCACCTGTGTGCTTTGTTACACGTGAATGGGGGAACTTCATCAGCCTCAGTGCGTCGTCAATTTTGAAAGAAGCTGTTCAGAGCGCACGTTATTGAGGGCTGACTCTGAAAAATGGTCTGACTGGATCTATTATATATTTTTTGAGATAGTGTCCTAGGGTTTTGGTCGTTGTAATAAAACACTGTGACCATAAGTATTTGGGGGAGGAAAGGGTTTTTCATCTTACACGTCCACACCATAGACAGTCACCGAGAGAAGTCAGGAAAGAAACTCAAGGCAAGTACTCGGAGGCAGGAACTGAAGCAGAGGCCATGGAGTGCTGCTTACTGACTTGGTCCTTAGGACCTGCCCAGCCTGCCTTCTTACACAAGTCAGGACCAAATGCACAGGAATGGCAGGCATCACCCACAATGGGCTGGGCCCTTCTATATGAGTCATTAATCAAGAAAATGCCCCAAAGACTTGCCTACAGGCAATCTGGATGGAGGTATTTTCCTCAGTTAAAGTTACTCTTTCCCAGATTACTCTAGCTTGTGCCAAATTTGACAAAAGAAAACCAACCAGCAAATTATTGACCCCTTGTCAATTTGACACACAAACACATTGCTATTAAATTATAACTTTTCCTTTCTTATTCCCAAAACATCATCAGCATGACAATATAAAACACTCCAAGTTTTAAGTCTAACAGTCTTTAAATTTTTTAATGCTTAAAAGTCTAAAGTCTTTTAAAAATAATCAAGATCATTCTAAAAATCCAGTTTCTAAAACTCTAAAAGTCTCTCTTCTCTAAAATTACCAAGTTTTTCTAAAACATCCAAGGTCTCATAATTGTGGACTTCTGTACAATCAAAATAAATATTTTCTTATCCCCAAGAGGGAATAAACAAAACATAGTCATGAACCAAAGCCATCAAACCGAAGCCATCAAACCAAAGTCTGCCAGTGTGAAGCTCAGTGTCTGACATCTGGGGCTCACCATCTTCTGGACTCCAGAGGCTTGAGTAGCTGCAGGTCTCGGGCTCTGCCATCTACAGCACACACGGCATGTCTCACAGTTTCAGGCAGGCTCCACGCCACAGCTGCTGCTGTGCTTAGTGGTCCTCGTGTCTTCAAAATGCTGGTGTTTCCACGGCACCTGAGATGCCTCTCCTGGCCTCTCTTCAGGGTTTCTGGACCGCCATGTGGTGCCAAGCCTCAGCTTCTCTCTATGGCCACTCCAATCCTGGGGCTTCTGCTGCGCTGGAGGCTTCTTTCACCAGTGTCCTCTCCTCGCCTCGCACAGTGCCAAGCCTCAGCTGCTCTCAAACACAAGAGCCTACAGGGAGACTCATAGTTAGTACAGAGAGCAGCTGCCAGCAGGGGGCATATCCTAGGTACCTCTGGACCACAGCTCCTGTGTGCTGACCTGAAGAACCATGTCACAGACGATGTCTCCTCAGTGTTGCTGGTCTCTTGTTACCCATAGCTGACTCTTCAGTCCCTCCTGACTAGTACTGATTATCCCAGCAAAGAACCAGTTTTGTGGTTCTGGTCTCCTGTTAACCACAGCTGATTGATTGTTCAGCCCCAGATGACTCAGGACCACAGATCTCAAGCCTTAAAATACTGAATGAGCCTGATAAAGCCTTTAAGGGATTCTCCGACCTCCCTCTGAAACATCACCATTGAGGACTTGGCCACTAGCAATACTCCTAGCCCCTTATATGCAGATCACTCAGTGGCTTTTTCTAGCATAGAATTTCTAAGTCTTCCCATGATCCTTCCCGAAACACATGATCTGGTCTTTCGCAGCAATGCCCTATGCCTTGGTACTAATATCTGTCTCGATTATGGTTTCTGTTGCTGTGATAAAACATGATGACCGAAAGCAACTTGCGGCAGGGAGGGTTTGTTTCATCTTATACTTCCGCATCATGGTCCATCACCGAGGGAACTCAGGGAAGAAACTCAAAGCAGGAACGTGGAAGCAGGAACTGAAACAGAGGCTGTGGAGGAGTGCTGCTTACTGGCTTGGTCCTCATGGCTTGCTCAGCCTGCTTTCCTAGTCATTCAAGTCAGGACCACATGCCCAGGGATGGTACCACTCAAAATGGGCTGGGCCTCCCACATCAATCAGGCAGTACATATATTGATTGCCTACGGGTAATCTGGATGAAGGGATTTCCTCAAAGGAGGTTCCTCTTTACAGATAAGTCTAGCTTATGTCAAGTTGACAAAAACCGGTCCGGGACAGATGGAGTATCACTTTGTAACAAAGGCTGACCCGAAGTGGACTGTAGTGGACTGTGTTAAACTCATGGCCATTCCCCTATTTCAGCTTCCTGAGTGCTGGGATTAGAGATGTGAGACACTGCCTAGTTAGGACCAGTATTTAGACATGAATGAAGCAAGAGGGAGGAGAGCGTGGATCATTAGAGCGGACTGCCTGTTGATTCTTTGCTGGGCAGCTTTGAGACAGCTTTCTGTTCCGATGCGCGCTGAACTTTGCACCTATTCACAAGCTCCCGGTGAAGGTACCTTCACAGGAGCAGAGAAGCCACTCCTTGTTCCAGAGGCCAGTCTTGTGTGTCGGATGAAAGATGCCCGGATGTTTATAACAGTCGCCGTCCCCCCCCTCTCTTATAGAGCTGTTCTGTTTGATTATGGACTTTGGGACAGCCCTATGACAAATTCCATGTGTCACTTACCCCCACCCCGTATCTTATGGTTTAGGTTCTTTAATTGAATTCACATTTATTTTATGGAAGTGATTTTTTTCCTGATCACGATATGGTGCTTGATTTAATAAATCAACGGCCATTATAGATATATTTATATGTATCTATCTACTGAGTGCAACTGTGCTAGAAAACACGTTTATTTAAAAGAAAAACATCTGAAGGCTTCTCTAATGTATTGGCCAGGTGAATGTTATCTTTAAAGGATTTTCCTTTTTTTCTTTCCTCCTTCCCTTCCTTTGCTCTCACTCTGTAGCCCAGTCTAGCTTCAAACTCGCCATCCTCCTGCCTCACTCTCCTTAGAGCAGGGTTTACAGGTGCACTTCACCACACCGATGTCGGTATAAGGAATCTTGATACGTGTTGGCTGGCAGATATTTTCCTTTTGTATTTTTCCTGAATTATTTCCCATGCATGGGTATTTTGCTGCATGCATGCCTCTGTACCTATTGCATCCTTTTCTCGTTTTCTTTGGAAGGGTGAGAGTAACGATGGTCTATCAGGATCCTTCTCCTGTGCAGAAAGGCTGGGCAATTTTATAAACTAATTATTCAGAGAGTCATATTAGGTACAGTGAGAGAAAAAGATATGAACTTGAGATAGAAAGTCAAGTGCCTTGGACGTGAACATCCACCCTGACTTCATGCTAATGGAATCACCTGATGTGTTTTGAAATGTGGCAAGGGGAGATGAAAAGAGAAACAGATTGAAATCTAACTCTGAAAGTGCCAGGATGTATATACTTGGGAAAATGACTCATATTAGTGTTTTAAATTATGAAATGGGAATATTAATAAATGTCTTGAAGTGGCTAGCAGAAACAGCTATTACATATTCTCTTGGACAGCATAGCAGGCATGTCTGTTAGTCTTTCTGTCGCTGTGACAAACACCCGAGAAAAAGTTTAATAAAGGAAGGATTTATTCTGGCTTATGATTTCAGAGTTTCAGCCCATGGTTGGCCACATTGCTGCAGTTTCTGGTGAGGCAGGATGTGGTGGTGGGAGGTGTGTGGCAGAACAGAGTTGCTCACCTCACTGCATCTGGGAAGCAGAGAGAGAATGACTGTATTATAGGCCTTCTCCTCTTTTATTCCATCTAACCCTGGCCTGTTGGCTTCTACAGCCATGAGAAGGGCAGGTCTCTCCCCTGAGTGACTTCTCCTGGAGACTCGGATGAACCCAGGAGCTCCACTCAAACTGAACATTGAGATGCAATTCATGGCGCGCTGCAATGCTTAGCTCCTTCCTGCCTCCCTTCCCGTGCCCTATGGGAAATGTCAGACACACATTCCTAGGGCCTGCAGTATCTCACCTGGGGTGAAAGTAGCCTGCATCCAGTAAGCATAGTGCCCTACAGGGGTGGATGGGGAGCCACTGAGGGTCCAGCAGACACCTCCAAGAGTCACTGTAGCCCTTTGCTGAGGTTGACCCTCATCGTTTACCTTCCTTCCTCTTCCAGTTGTCTCTGTCTTGATGACTTGGCCAGGCGTCTTTGGTAACTCTGTACCCTGTCTCTTTCTTCTAGAACTCTGAAGGTGGACTCTATGTATGCATGAATACGTTTTTGGCCTTTGGAAGGGAACACGTTGAAAGACATTTTCGAAAAACTGGACAGAGCGTATATATGCACCTGAAAAGGCACATGCGAGAGGTGAGACGGGTGTCTGGAGAGTTCCTGCATGCCCCACACAGGGGATGACCATACCCTCAGAACCCTGCGTTGTTCTCTTTGATGACACTCAGGTTCCCTCCCACCCCAGTGCTTACCTTAGCCAGTATTAGTTTTCTTCTTCTAGGCCACTTGTTGGAGTTAAGAGGCTGTGTAGTTGATTGACTGGAAAAAGTAATTTTAAGTTTAAAATATGAAAAAGTACAGACCTAATGCACCCCAATGTTTTCCTGAAGAAAAACTTTCTTGAAAGTCTACATCCCTTTGCCTCTTTAAAAAAAATACATTTTTTCTTTATTCTTGAGAATGTTATATAGTTATACTATAAAACATGATCATAGCCACCCCATTTCTTCCTCCAACATACACCCCAAGTTGTCTCAAACATGTCCCTTCCCATAATTTGTGTTCTATCTCTTTTGATAACTCACTGAGTCTGATTAGTTCACCCATATGTGCACGGGTGTGGGGCTGTCCTCTGGAGCATGGAAAATGTAGCAGTGGCCGCACGTTCAGAAAAGAATAACATTCCCTCTCCAGCAGCTGTAAATTGCTGGTCACACGTCAGCAAGTGGTGGACCCTGGAGAGCACATCCTTCACCTCCGCTGGGACTTTGACCAGCCGCTCTTGTGAAGGTCTTGTGCACACTATCACTGCTGTGTGAGCCAATGATGGCAATACCCTGCCAAGTCAGAGCCCTGCTTCCCAATCTCCAGCTCTGACAGTCTTCTCCTCTTCTACCATCTTCCCTTGGCCTTGTGGAGATGGGGGGGGGTGTCTCTTATTTTCGGCACTTTGGCTGGTCATGGGTCTCAGCATTGGCTGATTGCCCACTTCAGGAAGAAGTTTCTATGACTAAGGTTGAAAGTAGTCTAGGTCTGTGTAGAGACATAAATATTAGGAACAATGACAACATGACAATATTTAGCAAAATAGTAATAGGGCCCATGACGTCCCATAGCTGTGGGCTGTTGACTAGGGTTACAGAATCAGGTGTAAATTCTCTCCTGTAGAACAGACCTCAAATCCAACCAGAACACAATTAGTTTCTCTGTAATTGTCATGCCACGGGTAGGTACATCTTCCCTGTCGGGTGGATAGTCCCTCATGCGAGGTCAATACGGGAGGGGGAGGGAAATGGGAGGCAGTGGTGGAGAAGAGACAGAAATCTTCAATAAATAAATAAATTAATTAAAAAAAAAGACCAATGGTTTCTTTGATTTCTCCGAAGCTTGCCCAGGAACTGTGAAATCTAGCCAGTGGGGAAGATAATTTTTGCTTTGTATTATTTTTCTATGTCCTTTAGCAAGATTGTGTGGTGTATTCAGCAATAGGGCCTTACCATGCTGTTGTGGTGCTGACCAAGGGCTGTGGCAATAGCCTGTGCTGTTTTGGACACCTCTGGGGGCTCTTGACCCTGCGTTTACTAACCCATGTCTTCTAGGGGTGGTGTTGTCCTCTGATGTACAGTAATTCTGTTTGAACCCCCTTTTTAGTTGTATTTTGAAGTTAGCTTACTAACTAGTGGGTTTCCATATAAGGCTTTTTTGCATGTCCTCAGTTTTGGTTAAACCCACCCTATGTCTGGGATTATATTGTAGGAGCGGCAGGGCTGTGTCCCGCCACCCAGCTCCCGCACAGCTAGCTTTACCCAAAATAATTACACGGAAACTGTATTCTTTTAAACACTGCTTGGTCCATTATTTTCAGCCTCTTACTGGCTAACTCTCATATCTTGCTTTAACCCATTTCTAATACTGTGTGTAGCACCACGAGGTGGCTTACCAGGAAAGATCTTAACCTGCGTCTGTGTCAGGTGGGAGAATCGTGGTGACTGGCTGACTCGGCTTTCTTTCTCCCAGAATTCTGTTCTGTTTACTCTGCCTACCTAATTTTCTGTCCTATCAAAGGCCAAGCAGTTTCTTTATTAATTAACCAATGAAAGCAACAGATAGAAAGATGACCCTCCTCCATCAGGATTAGAGCTGTGTGCTCCAAGGCCAGTTTATGTAGTGTATGGGATTGACCTCAGTGTTCTGCGCCTTCCAGGCAAACACTCTACAGTGGAGCCACATTCCCAGTTCCCTCTGGAGCCCTCATTCCTCCAAAGTGACGTCACCCATTCTCATCATCATTTTCATGCATAGCGTTATATCTTAACTGCATTTCTGTGTGGATAGTATGTAGTATGACCACGTGCTTTAAAGACATGGATGCATGTCACCACACTCTCATCTACAACTGGGCATAGCACCTCATCGCTCAGTGTTGCTCTGGATGCTAGCTGGGCCGAGATGCCTATGGGTTTATTTACAGACTAGTATTACAGAAAATACTAAAAATCTGTTAATATGTAAATTTCTCCTCAAATAATCTGTAAGTTCCATTCTTTTCCTAATGCTGAATATTTGGATTGCTTCTGTTCTTTGCCACAATAAACAATACCACAGTGAACATTTTAACATATTTTCTACAGAAACCCTTATACAAGTATTTCTGTAAGAAACTTACCTAGTGATCCCACTGGCCTGTGGGTGCCAACCTTCATTCTTGGCAGGAGAAGGCTAATTCTCCCCAGGATGCTTGTGCCAGTGTGTCTTCCTGTCTAAGTGGTAAGGAATGAATGTCTCTCGGTCCACACCCTTACCATTCCTTGACCGAACTTCCAATCTTTGCCAGTCTAATGGTTGTGAAGTGATGTAAAAATATTTGGCATTTCATTCTGTGATTGAATATTTTCTTGCGTATTTATCACCCATTTAGAAAAATTGATATTCTCATGGAATGTTTTCTTGGTGACTTTTCTGAGTCACTGTTCTGTTGCCATGGAAAGAGCTTACATCTGATCCACACAAGGCGGAGACAGTGTGAGAAGCTGCCCTGTGCCCAGTGGCCCACCTCCTAATCTTTGCAAAAACAGTTCCATAGGGCCAGACATTCAAAAATATAAGCCTGTGGTGGCCGTTCTCATTCAGGCTGCCACTGTGTATCTATGCGTGTGTGGTGTGTGTGTGTGTAGACCACAGGGGTGTGTGTGTGCATGTGCACGTGCGTGTGCGTGTTTATGTGCACATGTGCGCGCGCGCGCGTGTGTGTGTAGACCACAGGTATGTGTGTGTGTGTATGTGTGTGTGTGTAGACCACAGGTGTGCGTGTTTGTGGACGTGCACGTGCTTGTGTGGATCAGAGGACAACCTTTGAAAGTCAGTTTTCTTCCTCTACCATGTGTTTCTGGACTCAAACTCAGGTTATTAGACACGTACACCAAACGCTTCTACCCACAGAGCCATCTCTGGCCTCTTACCTTTTGTTACCACTTTTTTTTTAAACCATAACTTTTTTACCTTTTTAGTTTTCCAACCTTACATTTTGTTACCACTTTTATTTTATTGCATATTTATTTGATTGTTGAGATTGGTAATTTTCAAATATAATCTTATATAGTTTTAATAGTTTATAAACTATCTTGGTGTCTTCTAAGTAGTCAGTTCTGATTTGAGTTTTACTTAATTTCCCATGTCACCCTACCTGATATGCTGAGAAGTCACGGTTTCAAAGATGAGCTTTGACATCATTTGATTTTTGTCCTGATATGACTTACATGTTTCTTCTGTCGGGATCCGGGAAAGTGTAAACTTTATCCTATAAAGTTCAGGTCGTTTCACATCTTTTTTTTTTTTTTTTCTTTTTCTTTTTTTTTTCTTTTTCTTTTTTTTTTTT